CTGGCATGTGGTGCTGGGGATCGAACCGCGGTCCCTGTGCTTTGCCAAGCTTGTTTCAAGTAGGTGCTTTAGACCACTGAGCCATCTCTCCAGCCCCACCAATTTTAAATAATATGGGGTTTCCATTTTTTGGGGGGTGGTCCCTTAAATAGAATCAGACCATACCATTCTTCCCGTCCACCACATTCCCTTCAAGTTGTATGGTGAATATCCTCAAATACACAGGGAGGCAAAACCCTAGCGCGTACCAGGCACAGGCAAAGCGCCCTGCCCAAACCCCAGCGTGATAAAGTAATTCCTCACCTCAGTTCCCAGCGCTCACCGCAGTGAGCTTTAAACCAGGCAGGCTCTACCACAAACTCTAAAATCTGCTCCACTAATTCACTGTGGATGGAGCAAAATGAAGTCAGCTTAAGGACCTAGAAAGTGCTTCCCTCGACGCACAGGGCCAACTTAATACAGACAGCTGAGCAGACCCCTGCTTGCATCCCTCAAAAGGATGATGTTGGCCTCCTGTGACAAATCCAGCTCTTGTCCAAAACTGTCAGGACAGAGTAGTTGTCAAGTGGGGCATAAGCACCTGCCCTTCATACTAGGGATCGAGCCTAGGCCCTTCACACTGAGCTACACCTCCAGCCTTTTCTGTTTTCATATTTAAGAGACAAGCTCTTCTTGCTCAGCAGTGCGAGCTGGACTTGAACCTGTGATCCTCTTGCCTCAGGCTCCCAGAGTGCTGGGATTCCAGGTGAGCCCCCCCACAAGATGTCCTTCAGGATTTTCCTGTGGTGAAGGTAACAGATTTACATCTGGCTCTACTACTGCTCCTTGTTGCCAGGGACAGGGGCACAGCCACACTGGCTTTCAGGGTCTCTTAGCTGGAGAAGCCTTTGCATGGACTATTGTTGGGGTAACCACGGGAAGGAAGCAGGTGACAGTGGTCACCATGTCAGATTAGTGCTGGCCAGGACCTCCCGCACTCCAACGGCCTCCGTGCAAGGCTGCACACAGTCGGCAGTGGCAGCGGCTCAGGCGCCTTCCCTCACACCACCCACCTCCCGGGCCTGCCCAGGCTGGGCACTGGTTGCACTTTAACTGCCCACTCACTGAGGTCAGCTCTGACCTAGTACTTTCTCCAAGTTCAGGGCAGGAAATAATGGCCGCAAAAGCATCAGAGGTAATGAAATGAGTAAATACAAGAAAGAAAAGGCGGCTTCGCGCTGCCTAGGAGCCCGTGCTGCTCTAGGGGTCGAGCTCGAAAGAGCCGTGTCTCCCAGTCATGCTATTTCCACAGGAGAATGAGAAGTCTTCACAGCTTATTTCCTTTAATTACATCATAAAACAAAATTAGAACATACAGGAAACAATAGTTACATAACAATTTATATATTTATATATAAAAAACATTTCTTTTTTAGTCCAAAGATTTTAAAGCAAAAGAAATCCTCTACTGCCACCTTGGATTTTCTTTTAAATATCCCCCTCTCATCCTCAGGTGCCAGGTGTTCTGTGGGACAGTCACTGGGGCAGCTCAAGGAAACTGGTGTGAAGCCACCGTGTGGGGACAGCCTGGCCCTTGGTGGCAATAAGCAAGTGGCGGCTCCCATGGGTCATGCTCCAGGTTGTCTAAGGGGTGGCGAGGGTGGACAGGACAGCTCCCACCAGCCCCTGCCTCTGACCCCTGGAGAGGGTGCGAGCAGGGGGAAGCAGCCTGGCTTGAAGTAAGGATTCTCCAGCAGCACCAGGTACCCATCTGCCTCTGTCGCCAGGCAAGAGTGCAACAGGTCCTCATGGCTCTCTTGAGCTCTGCACAGACCACGTCAGTTGGCTCTGTGCCCTCAGGGTCAGTGAAGATGGGAGAAGGGCAGAGTGCGGAGGGGGCGGGGTGAGCAGCCTCTCCTCAGCAATCCCAGGGCAGGGGCAGCGGGCAGCACAGAGCCCTGTTGGCACCTCGCCCAGACCTGCAGTGCCCACCCACTGCCAGTGTTAGTGTGTGAAGTGGGGGTGAAGGGGAGAAAGAAATCACAGGCACGCCCCCTTCCTGTACTTATTAGAGATTAACAGTCATCAGAGAAGTACAGATAAGGAAGCATTCTCAAGGGAAAAACCTGATGTAAACCCAGGAAAGTAGCAGCAAAGATTTCACTCGGTGAAGATCTAGTCTACAGCACTAGAAAAGAAAATCTTTGGGGGTGGTTAAAGCAATTAGTCAAACCGTAGCAGTTAGAAACTTTCTCAAGTTAGGATTTTCTAAGACTTTAGGGTCTCATTCTCTAGTGCCAATAAAAGAAAACAAGTTACTAAGGCTGGGAGGGTTAGGCTGAGAAACACGCCCTGTGAGCAGTAGGAAGGGTGAGGCTGCTTCTATGGGCACAACAGAAAGACATCACCTCAAGTGTTCCCAGCCTCGGGGCCCAGCAGACGGAGCCGCCTGGACCTTTCCCCGCAGTCCTGTTCCCTGAGGCCCTCAGGCAGCTGGGCAGCCTGGGGACTGTGTGGTGCTGGTCTGTACCTGGATGACTCAGTGAGGGGACACCAGGAGCCCGCCTGGCAGGAAGAGGGTGTGGCGTCCACGGGACAAGGCAGCAGTCAGCACTGCTGAGCAGGTGCCAATTCTGAGGAAGGGGCCCCATTCTAGAACCGCTTCTCCACTTCTCTCTGAACCTCACCTCTCATTTCCCCAGGTCAATTTGTCAAGAGAAGAAATGGGGAAAACACAAAATAAAAGGGCCCCGGAAACAGTTCTTCTGGCCTGTGGTTCTCCTCTAGGGTCATGAGCTCCTGGTGCTGAGGAAGCGATGGGCACCCTGAGGGTCGCTGGGAACCCACAGGGCAGGGAAGCAGCACCCTGGTCGGTCTGGGACACAACGCTGCTGTGGGCACAGCCCAACAGCTGCTGTGCTTCTTCAGAGGGTAACTCCCTCGGGGTCAGACTCGGGTATAGCCACACACTGCCTTCCCTAAGGGTCAAAGGCTTCAGAGGTGTTCAACTGATGTTCTTAAGAATCAAAGCACACAGAACAGGTGGACTTGGCTTGAGTGGAAAGGAGCAGGTACCTTTCATGCAAAAACCTCACCTCATGTGGCAGTTCCTGCCTGGCAGGTAGAAAGTCTGTCTCAAGTAAAAAGGCAAGCCTGCAGCAGCACGTACCTCAGTGGCCTATGTTCTTTGCCAGAGAAGATGTAAGTTAGGACATTTGGACACAGTCATGACAACCTTAATCTCAAATTACCTGGGCCATTATGTGAGTAAGGTCTCACGCATCTTTTGTAATCTCCAATTTTATATTCTCTTACTGCTCTAGATTCCTCTGACCCCAAGATCACTGTAAAAGGTGTACAGATTCTGGCCAAGACCTGTAGAGCTCAGCGAGGGTCTGTCAGCCAGGAGGCAGCACAGGGGTAGAAAGCTACCCCCCAAATGCAGATAAGCAAGGAGGAGACAGGGAGAAGGCAGCGCGTTCCTGCAAACCTTCCCAGTGGTGGCAGCTGCTCAGGGCGCAGACACGTGAACTGGCCAAGGGCTGGCCTCATCTGGACACCCCACCCCCTGAAGAGATGCTGCTCACAGCAGCATGAGCTCGCCTTCAAGCCAAGACAAGGGCCGCTGCATGCTCTGTTCAGTTCTCCACGCCCTCCTAGACTACCACACCAATGAAATGCACTTTATAAGGTAATGAGAAGGGCTGCAACACTGCGCTCCTGGAGCATCACGGCTCTACCACGCAGGTCAGAGAGTCTGGATAGCCCGGAAGGAAACACAGAACTACTTACCAGGTTTCCCTCTAGAATGTCTGAAACAAGGGCTAAAGTATCTCACTTTGTATCTGGTAATCAACTTAATGGATGGGGAAATCAGACTGGACATTCTTTTTTTTTTTGGTGGAACCGGGGATTGAACTCAGGCCCTTGTGCTTGCCAGGCAAGTGCTTATTCTACTGAGCTATCTCCCTGGCCATGGACATTCATTTAAAGTCATTCAAGAAATACTTTTACATCCCGTGAAGATGAGAGAACAGAAGAACAAATTTTAACACAAAGCACCAGTGTGCTTTCACGCTCCAAGTATTAAAAAAAAAAGGGGGGCGGCTAAAGCTGGATCTTATTCTTCATATCAAGCTTTTGTCATACAAACTCTATTCAAATCCAGCAAGCAAGCATCTAAGAGAGCCCAGTGAGAAACAACCAGAGCCACTCGACAGTTAATCCAAGGCCGTCCCCAGCTGCTGTGGATGGTGAGGCTGAGAAGTCAGCAGCACTCTGGGATGAGGGAGACTGAGAGCGGAGGAACAGGCGAGGGTAGGACCGCAGGAGGGGTGCTGGACTCAGCTCTGCAGGCGGCCAAGAGGGCGTGAGGGACACTGAGGAAGCGAACAGTGCTGGAAAATACCAGGGGGAGACTGGGGAAGGGTACTCAGGCCAAGGGGAGGTACGGCCCCCAAACTTCCTCAAGACTGCCAAGATCCCTCCTGACCACCCAGAACTTTACAGCAGGAACTGGGAGGGTACTTTCCTTTTCTTTCTAAATCTCTCTTTTGTTCATGCTATTTATTTTTACTATAAAGGCATATTCTGGAGTGTCTATGAAATCAAACAAACAAGCTAGCAAGTTTGCCTGCATCATGCCTTGCTAACTCCAGACACAGACAGGAAGCACACATTCCGGGCTCAGGGCGCTTTCTACCTGAACCAACTCACCATGCAGTCATTAGCACAGAAATTATATTTTCTTTTTTGGCGGAACCAGGGATTGAACTCAGGCCCTTACCAGAAATTACATTTTCATCCAAGCTCGATGGGTCTAAAGTTTCTTTTTGTGCCAATATACCGAGTTTCATTTTTTGGGAAACTGAGATAAGAAGATTGTTTGAGGCCCTGAGTTCAAGACCAGCCTGTGGACCACAGCAAGACTGTTTGAAAAAAAAAAAAAAAAAAATCCACCATGTGTAGGGGCACATGCCTATGCTTCTAACACTTTCTAGGGTAAGGCAGGAGGATTCAAGACCAACCTGAGCCACACAGTGAGACCCTCTTTCAGAAATTTTATATATATTTATTTATTTTTTTGTACAGGGTCTCACTACATAGATCAGACAGACGATCAGACTCGTAGTGATCTGTTGGTGTTCAGCCTTTCAAGCGTTGGGATTACAGGTGCGCGCCACCACACCCAGTCTCGATCACATGGCATGCCGGGGATAGAACCCCAGCCACTGTGCTCTGCCTAAGCAGATGCTTTGGTCTGCTGAACTTTCTGGCCAGCCCAACAAAAATATATTTTTTTTAATTTAATTTAATTTATTTATTTATTTGTGTGTGTGTGTGTGTGTGTGTGTGTGTGTGTGTGTGTGGCCAGCTCAGCCCACCAGGGGGCGGGGCTGGCTGGCATGTGGGGCTGGGGAATTGAACCGCGGTCCCTTGTGCTTTGCTAAGCTTGTTCTAAGTAGGCGCTTTAGACCACTGAGCCATCTCACCAGCCCCCAAAAATATTCTTTACAAGGTACTTTGAAAAGAGGAAGAACACAAAAGACAAATAATTTGAACTTTTTAAAGGGACATATGAGGGAGGCCTGCCTGTTAGCTCAGGTGTTTAAGGGTCTGCTTATGCAAACGCAGTCAGGCACAGAACACATAGGTTTGATCCCAGCTCCTCATGCCTTACCAGACCTGCCCTTAAGGCAGCCTGAGCCAATCAAAAAAAAAAAAAAAAAAAAAAAAAAAAAAAAAAAAGGAATAAAATAAGACTATGCTAAAAAGTGACAGCAATAGAGGATATTTCCATGTGATTGCTTCCAACATCAATAGAGACTTCACTCTTGCACACACTGGTAGAACCAGTACTTGCAGCATTAAAATTAGCCCTTTAACAATCTGAATCATGCAGCAGATGACCTAAGATCAAGATGGATTGCACATCAATGTTCCAAAAACTACCCCCCCCCAAAAAAAAGGCTTTAGAAATGCCCTCATTTTATTTTCTTTATTCTCTAACTGAATCTAGGGCCTTGGCACTGAGCTACATCCCCATCCTGTTCATCTCTCCTCCACACTTTTTTTTTCTTTTTTTGGCGGAACTGGGGATTGAACTCAGGCCCTTGTGCTTGCCAGGGAAGCGCTTATTCCACTGAGCCATCTCCCCAGCCCTCCCACACTTTTTTTTTTTTAAGACAGGGTCTCCTTATGCACTTAAGGCTAACCTTGAACTCGTAGTGATCTTCTTGCCTCAGCTTCCCAAGTGCTGGCATTACAGGCATGTGCCACTGAGCCAGTTTAAAAGTTTTTGAGACAGGTTTTGCTAATTTGCCCAGGCTGGAACTCATGATCTTCCTGCTTCTGGCTTTGTGGATGCTTGGGTTGTAAGCATGTGCTGCCATGCCTGGCTTCCTTGACATTGTGGAGGTGAGCAGCTTCTCGTTTCTACCTCTGGCGGTACTGAGGCTCAGCAGAGGCCTTAAGTGGCTCACAGGTAAGCCACGCGGAGCTGCCTCCCAGAGCTCTTCCCTCATGTCACTTGGACTGAGGGTCTGCCAAGGTGCTCAGCCTGACCTTGAACATCCTGCCTCCACCACAAGCAGGTGAGCTTATGGGTGTGTGGCACCATGCCTTCTTTTTTTGTGAAATCAGGTCCTTTCACTTGCCAGGGAAGCACTTATTCCACTGAGCCATCTCCTCAGCCCCACCACGCCTTCTTCATGGACTCTTGACTCACTAGTGCTAAGCCCCCTTTCTCCTCAGCCCTGATGGCAGTCCAAGCTGGGTAGACACTGACACTGATAATCTCTCTCAAGTTTCTATTCTACACGTCCTCATCCCATCCCTTGGCCACTTTCACAATTCCATTAAAAGAAGTGTGGGCAAAAGATAAAGAAGGCTGAGGCAGTCTGGGCCCTCTGAGGTACCAACACTGCTATGGAACCATCAACACAGACAGAGCTGGCCAGATGTCACTGGGCCATGCTTGTATTCCTGATGGGCTAAGATGGGCATGGGCAGCGCGGTGCTGGAGAGTACAGCTCGGCTCCACTGGCCACACACAGCTACAACCACCAGGGTGGAGCTGCCAGCAAGCACACCCAGACTGCGGTGAGCACAGCAAGGAGATTATTGAAGTCTGAGCTGGGTGCCAGGGACCCCCAGGCTACATCTGGGATTTGCCATCCACTCTTCACTAACAACACATTTCTCATCTCTTTCCTTAGCACGTTAATACAGGCTGCAGGCAGGAAGTGTGGGGGGCAGTATGGGCCCCTCAGGCGAGTTATCATCTATTGCTAGATATAACGGAAACCAAAATGCAAAGTTTGTTTTTGTCAAAATAATATTAGCTTTCTTCTCATTATTTTTCTTATTTTCCTTTCAGGTTGGCAAAGATTCAAGCAGGGTCCCCTAAAGGTAGAATTTCAAATTAAAAAAATATTTATTGATAATGTTTCTTTTAAAAATGTTTGATAACCTCAACTAATCATCCAAAATGCAAACTGTAAACACAACAGCCCAAGAGTAACAACTGAGGGAGTAGCAGATGGTGACTGGGTGACACACTGAGCAGGGTGCAGAAGGAGCCACGCAGAGCGGAAGACAGGTGCGCGGTGTGGACAGACAGGGCAGTTTGATGAGCAGCCACATCTGGACCGCAGCATTTCAGCAACCCCTGGGCTAAGTACCAAACCAAGGAGGAATGGACAGCTTTCTCTGCGAGCGTGCTCAGCACGTTGCATGGATACAGGAAGCACAGAAGCTATGTGGTCATTTCATAATGAGGGCTGCCACATCTAGGATGCCAGGAATTTCTTTCTGGTCCCTGGATACCTCCCGTATCATTTTCCCATGCTTTCCTTGACCTTGGATGACTGCAGTTACTGTTCCAAAATCCCCAACAAAACCCCCTTAACAAAATAAAGAAACCAGCACAGCAGTAACCCTGGGTCTGCTGGAGTGCCCTCCCTCCGTGTTGGCCTATGATGTTCTGGGTGTGTCTGACAGGACAGGTAAGTTTCACCAATCCACTTGGGAGAGCCAGCACGAGCTTCAGTCCCGTGGCCACAGAGCTGGAGTGGGCGGGGTAGGTTGTGGATGCATACGTACGCGTGGCTCTGGGGACCTGGACACGGCCTCACTCCGTAACACTTGCCCAGAACCCTGGGGTTACTTCTGCTGGAGACACCAGGTAACTCTAGAGTGTTCTTAAGTACTCAGCTCACAGTGGCAGAGCCCTCCAGTGTCATAGGATGATGCAGCATCTGCAGAAGCGCTGTCTGCTGCCTCCGACTGACGGGGGTGGAGTGACAGGTGCGAAGTAGGCGTGGACTTTAATGTTGGGTAGGTGGGTCTGGAACAAGACAGAAACTTTACAAAGTGAGCACTCAAACAGGAAAGCCATTGCAGGGCTCCAACAACACGCAATCGGGGACGAGGATGAGGACCAGTCAGGATGCTGAGGGGCCTGGGTTCCACTCAGTTCCATCCTATGCTGTGCTAAGCACACATTCATAGGACTGTAGTATCTGTTTTTGTAATAAACTAGAGGAAAACATCACATTCATTTCTCTCTCTCTCTTTTTTTCAGTACTGGAGATGAAACCCAGGGTCTCTGTACTGAACTACATTCCAAACCCTTTACATTTCTTTTCTTTCTTTTTTCTTTCTGCAGTACTGGGAATTGAACTCGGAACCTTGTGCTTGTCAAGCAGGTGATTACGCCACTGAGCTATTTCCCTAGCCCTAGATTTTTTTTCATTTTGAAAAAAATGGTTTCTTTTCTTTTTTTTTTTTCTTTTTCACAGTCTCAATAATTTTCCTAGGTTGAGCTCAAATTTGTGATTTTTTTTTTTTTTTTTTTTTTTTGCCTCAGCTTCCTAGAATGTGACACCATTCTCAATACCCCAGCCCAAAATAGCAGAAGGATTTTTTTTTTTTTTTTTCCGGTCCCGCTCAGGATGCCTTCAGGGCAGGTCTGGATTGGCTTGAGGATGAGGGGATCGAACCACAGCATCCTGAGCCTGACTGCTTTGTTTAAGTAGCCACTTAAACACCTGAGCTAATGGGCAGGCCACCCCTTTTAAAGATTTTTTTGATACAGGGTTTTGCTATGCAGTTTGTACTTGTAGTGATCTTCCTGTCTCAGCCGCCCTAGTGCTGGTATTATAGGCATCAATCACCACACCTGGTTTGGGGCTGGCATGGTATGCAGAACCAGGGATCGAACTCAGGACCCTGCACTTACCAGGCAGGCACTTAGGCTGCCGAGCTAAGGCTCCCCAGCTCCAGCAACATATTTATTTTTTTGCAGAAATGGGGATTGAACTCAGGCCTTGTGCTTGCCAGGGAAGTGCTTATTCCACTGAGCCATCTCCCCAGCCCCAGCAACGTATTAATTTAGCTTTCCCAAAGAGATTCCCAGGTGGAAGAGGCTACACAGGTTTAAAATAATTATTTTTCCAAATCACTGTGGACAAAGTCCCTCCCTCTGCCTGCCTCCCACTCTCTCTTCTATTTAATTATTTTTCTGAGACAGGGTTCTCACTATGTAGGTCTGGCTGTCCTTGAACTCTGTGATCCCTGCCTCAGTTTCCTGACTTCTGAGGTTACTGGCATGTGCCCCCATGCCCAGCTTGTTTTTCTTTCTGAGACAGGTTTTCACTAGTAGTTAAGGGTGGTTTTAACTCACTTTGTAGCCCAGGATAGCCTCGAACTCACAGCAGTTCTCCTGGCTCAACCATGATGGCAGGCTGTCTTTTTCTTATATTAAAAACCAAAAAAACCCTCACTATCCTTTTTTTTTTTTTTTTGGGAAAACCATGACTCTAGCCTTTCCTACTATTTCACACTGCCAATGGTGACCAGGCACTATGCTACATGCACACAAAGACGGTCCACAGGGCGATCCCGTCCTCAGGGAGGTTACAGCCTGCACACAGAGAAGTGACTATCTCCTAACAGTTCTGAGATGGAAAAGATCCCAGGGACGGGGCAGGGCTGGGCCAGGAACAACAGCGGCAGCAGGCTGTGGAAGAGGCCTGGGCCAGCCTGTTGCTCCCCTCACTCTAGTCTGTTCTTTTTGTTTGCTTTTGTTTTTTCGGAACTGGGGATTGAACTCAGGCCCCTGTACTTGCCAGGCAGGCGCTTATTCTACTGAGCCATCTCCCCGGCCCCTCTAGTCAGTTCTTGGTCCATACCACAGAAGGATGAGAAATCGGAGCGAATCGTACACAAGAGGAGCTCTGGTGCTCTGTTACTTATTCAAAACATGTGGCCAGGTCCAGGAATACAGCTCAGCAGCTCAGCACCTGCCTGGTAAGTGCAAGGGCCTGAGTTTTTTTTTTTTTTGAAGTACCAGGGATTGAACTCGGGACCTTGTATTTGCCAGGCAGGCACTTACGCTGCTGAGCTATATCTTTGGCCAAGGTCCTCAGTTTGAGTCCCAATATCAAAACATAACAACAACAAAAACCCCCAAATCCTCTGTGGTCAAATGGAGTTTTTGAGACCATGGAAAAGTGCTAAGTGACCAGAGTGCCTCGGCCCCAGTAGATGTGCAGCAGATGTTTCAATAAATGTCCACAGGGGGCCGGTGAGACAGCTCAGTGGACTAAGTGCCTGCTTAGGCAAGCACAGGAACCGTGGTTCGATCCCCAGCATCAGCCCCACCCCCAGGCTGAAAGCAGGAGGATCACTATGAGTCTGAGCTGTGTAGTGAGACCCTGCAACAGCCAAATACATAAAAAAAAAAAGTTTTACTTATTTTTTTTAATGGTACCAGGAATTGAACTCAGGACCTTGCCATCAAGGCAGGCACTTATTCTACTGAGCTATCTCCTTGGCCCCCCAAAAACAAAAGATTAAAAAAAGAAATATAAGAACTCCAGGAAAGGGTTCGACATGAAGAAGAAATACAAGTTGAATTCATAAATCTCACTTAACCATTTTTCTTTATATTATTTCTATCTTTGCTTGTGAATAAAAATCTGGCATGTTTCTTTCCTTGTTTTTTATACTCTAGGGATGTGATTAAGCCCAGACACGACTGGACAATCTCTGCTGGAATTTTTCTACCAAATTTCCACATAGGACCACTCTCCATTTTCTTTCTGCTTGCTAGAGGTCCAAGTAACTTTAAACTCCACAGGAATCTAAATATGCAAAAGGACAGGACAGGACAAGGAAAGGGTAGGGAGCACCAGTGCAGCTCACCCTGAGCCTCTTGATGCCGGCGCGAGTGATCTGCTGGCAGTCGTAGAGCTCGATCCGCTCCAGGCTGTGGCAGCTCTTCAGATGCTCCAGGGACGCATCTGTGATGAGGGGGCAGTTGTCCAGCTCGATCACCTCCAGCTGATCGTGCGCACAGGCCCCGTTCCCCAGGTGGCGGATGCCATCGTCTGTGATGAGCTCACAGTGGGACAGACTCTGCAGCCAGAGCAAAGGAGGGGGGGTGTGCGCCATCAGGGAGGAGCACTTTCTGGGGTGACTCTGGTGAACATGGAGCCATCACCACATCCAGGCATGAGGGAGCGAAGGATGCGCTTTAAGAGGCACCAGAGTCTGCTTAGAGCAATTTGTGACTTTCATGTTATTCTAAATGCAGTTTGTAAATTCATGTAATGACTGTGAACCTCATAAACAAAGCAAGATGCTTTAAAAAATTACCCCTATTCAAGTTAACACTAAAGAATTAGGGAGGAATAGGAATTTATGAACAAAATTCTCTGGAGCCTGAACTAAATATTGACTATCTGGTGTAGGGCCTGACCCAACAGTGAATCAGCTGCAGATCAGTTGTGATAACCTATGACATTACCTCATCAATTCTCTGTACATCTATCTCTGGAAAAATCTGAACCTCTGAGCCAGTTAGGAGAGTATGGTGCTAACACTCCAACATGATCCTGGACACACAATAGTAAGCCAAGAGGTCTCTTTGTCTTTTTTTTTTTTTTTTTCCTTCAGTACTGAGGATTCAACTCAGGACTTTTGTACTGGGCTATGTCGTGGCCCCTATTTATTTTCCAGCAGGGTGTTGCTAAATCACTAAATTACTCATGCTGTGCTGGAACTTGTGGATTCTCTTGCCCCAGCCTCCCAGAGTAGTGGTGGGTTTAAAGACAGGCCGTACTATCACACTCAGCAGGATACCCTCCTAAAGTATCACTGGGTATAGCAGCAATAAGCTGCCCCATTAGGACTGGCCTGTTTCTGTTTTATAAGAACACAGGGTTATGGTGAAGTGAATAGTATTTGGGCCACCTCATCCTTGGATCTCTGGAAATGTGTCAAAATGCCACTCAGCAGGAGCCACGCTTCCTGCAGAGAGAGATCCCGCTCGCCTGTGGGTGCTCCGGCTCTCTGCAACAACACTGCTGGTGTGCCCCTCCGGCCCTGTCTTATTCCCACCTCACTGAAGCCCTCGCTTCTCCTCTGGAGGCTGGCAACTCAGGGAAGCATATTTAACCAAAAATGAGAGCAAAGTACAAGCTGTTTCTTACTTTAAACAAACCACGGCACTGTTTTGATTCAATCCAAGAAACACATAAACCTTGAGAGAGAAACTCACCAATACTTGAAGTCGAGGACAGTGTATAGAAAGTTGGATTAACGTGCTATCAGTTATCTAAAAGAAAAATGTATATTAAGTATAATTCCAAACAGTCATGGGCTGTATTTCTTCCCTTGGTAATCCAGGCTTGTCTTGAACCCACCATGTAGCCTAGGCTGGTCTCGAACCCATGACAACCTCTTGCCTCAGCCTCCTCAGTACTAGGATTACAGGTGTGCGCTATCACACCTGGCACTTTTTTTTTTTAAATTTTATTTATTTATTTATTTGTGTGTGTGTGTGTGTGTGTGTGTGTGTGTGTGTGTGTGTGTGGCCAGCTCAGCCCACCAGGGGGCGGGGCTGGCTGGCATGTGGTGCTGGGGATTGAACCGCGGTCCCTGTGCTTTGCTAAGCTTGTTCTCAGTAGGTGCTTTAGGCCACTGAGCCGTCTCACCAGCCCCAAGAAGTTTTCTTTTGAAACTGAGTCTCAGTATGTTAGTAAGTTGCCCAGGATGGACCTGAACTTATGACCCTTTTGTTTCAGACTGAGTATAGAGACTAAAGGTATATACTGCTGCCTGAGAAGTGTTAAAACGGGAATAAAAAAGGGACCCAGGATCCAGTTAGGCTACAAGATGCCACTGCTACAGAGCAGGGCACTTGTGCTGTGAGTATTTCCTAGAACCACCACTCTGCAGGTCTAATGAAAACTAAATGAAAGAAGAGATGTGGACTTGCTATTTTGCTCAGGTTGGCCTTAAACCACTAAGGCTGAAGTGATTCTCCTGCCTCAGCCTCTTGATACTGGGACAGTGGCACAGGCCAGCACACCCAGCATAAGGAAATTTTTCTTTGTTTTCAGAACCAGGGAATGAACTCAGGCCCTTGACTGGCAAGCACTTATTCTACTGAGTGATCTCCCCAGCCCAGGAAATATTTTAATAGCATTGTGGCCTGGATACTTGGGTGCCTGTCCATCCATTCTTCCTTTTTTTAAAAATTTTTTGAGACAGGGTTCCACTATGCAGCTCAGGCTGGTCTCTAACTTGGAACGATCCTCCTGCCTGAGATTCTTCAGTGCTCCGATTATAAAGGTAAGCTTCCAGGTGCCTGTTCACCTGATTTTTGGTATGGAGTTGAACTCAGGACCCTGTGCTTGCCAGGCAGGCACTATGCCACTGAGCTATATCCCTGACTCCTGGGTGTCCTTTCTAATGTCAGTCTGATCAAAGCATGTATTTTCATAATTCTTTAACGCATGTGCCATGCACACCCTACCTGGAGTGACTGAAGACATCTCAGTAAGTGGGCAGAGTGCCCCAGTAGGGAGGGACCTGAGCATTCTCATGTACAGGGATTATGGAAGTTCCCATCACAGTGTATTTGGGTTTTTCTGTATTTGGTACAGTGTCTCACTACAGAGCTCGGACTTGTCCCCAGTGCTAGGATTACAGGTGTGCACCACCATGCCCAGTCTCAATGGCAGCTCAGCATGCCTGGGGGCGGGTCCGGCATGGCATATAGTGCTGGGGATTGAACCTGGGCCACGTGCTTGCCTAAGCAGGAGCTTAATCTGCTGAGCTATCTCACTGGCCCTCATCGCAGTGTACTTGTGAATAAAATCGTGCAATCTTACCTGAACACATTCTTCCAGGTCCATCTTTTCAAGCTCATGGCAATTCTATAAAATAGAAATGAAACAGTATCATGTAGACATTTACTTTTTTTTTTTTGGGACACGGTCTCTCTATGCAGTTTAGAACAGGGCGTGGTGGTGCACGCCTGTAAACCCAGCATTCAGGAGGCTGAGCCAGGAGATCTCTGTGAGGTGAAACCAGCCTGGGGGCTACAAAAGTGAGCACAAGGCCAGCCTGAACTGCACAGCAAGATCTTATCTCAAAAAGAGACACATAAGAAAATTCTTAGTGTTTCAGAGTTGCTGTTATTCTGTCACTTTCTATTTTATCCCATTAATTACACATTCAAAAGACTTTGATTATAGTGATATTTCTCAATTATTTTACATATAAATATTTAACATCTTGCAAGTGCAAGGGAATAAATTTGCTGTAACAGTGGACTAATGATACAAAGATACTTTCAGCCACTGTAATGTAATGAAAAGCCTTTATCCTCCCTCCCCTCCCTGCTCTTTTGTCTGTCTCTCTTCAGAGTCTTGCTATATATACTGCAGGATGCCCTGGACTCACTATGTAGCCCAGGCTGTCCTTGAACTTTTGGGAATCCGCCTGCCTCAGCCTCCCAACTACTAGGATTACACACATGCACCACTATGCCTGGGCAAAAACTGTTTCTTTGTTGTTGGTTTTTTTCTTGTATTTTAGAGGAGGGTCTTTCTTTTTATTTTTGTTGTTGTTGGTATTTTTATGGAAGGGTCTATAGGATGTTCAGGGTCTCACTACTAGATTGGATTCATAGTGATCTGCCTGTTTACAGCGTCCCAAGAACTGGGATTATAGGTGCATGCCACCATGCCCACTCTCATTTGTTGTCTCGGTGCACTGCAGGGGCGGGGCTGGCAGGCAGGCCTGGGGATCAAAGCCCCGGCTGTGTGCATGCTTGTAGGTGCTTTAATCCCCTGAGCTGTTGGGCCAGCTCCTGTTACTTTGGAAGAGAGGAAAAAATTACATGTGTTCTCCTTTACTTGGGTGTCCAGACCCTCCATCTGTCAGCTAGAAAGTGAGCGACCTCCCTCTATTCCGTAACACTGGTCAAAGCCAGCTTGATCCTAACCATTGCTATTCTTCCTTTCTTCTTCCCTCCCCTTTTTTCTTTCTTTTGCAGTACCAGGGACTAAACCCAGGTCTTACGCATGCTAGGTAAGCATTCTACCGCCCAGCTATATCCAGCACCCTTTTATGACACAGCATCTAAGATGCCTAAAATTTGGCAGTCTGTTGCCTCAGCCTCACTCTCTCATGGGTGGGATTACAGGTGTGCATTGCTGTACTCAGCTCAGACTTACATATTTACTTTTTTTTAAAATTTTATTTATTTATTTATGTGTGTGTGGGGGGGCAGCTCAGCCCACCAGGGGGCGGGGCTGGCTGGCATGTGGTGCTGGGGATTGAACCTCGGTACCTGTGCTTTGTTAAGCTTGTTCTAAGTAGGTGCTTTAGACCACTGAGCCATCTCAGCAGCCCATATTTACTTTTAACATTAAACATTACTCACAAAAACTACTAATATACCAAATTAACAGGTATTTTCACAAAGCACCAGAAGTCTGCGTTTATCATCTTATGAAACCACAGAGAACTCAAGTTTCACGGTGTTTGGTTCTCCTATGCAGGCCTGCATTTCCAGAGTGGTTTGCATTCTTTACATTTACAACCGCTTTAAAAAATTTGAGACAGGAGGCAGGCATGGTAGCACACTCCTCTTATCCCAACACTAGGGAGGCTGAGGCAGGAGGCCAGCCCAAACTACAAGTAGAACCCTGTCTCAAAAAACAGAAATACAGTAAAATAAGCGCTTGCCTGGCAAGCACAGGGTCCTGAGTTCAATCCCTGGTACTGCAAAAAACCAAAAACCAACCAAACAAAAAACAAACAACAGGGGCTGGTGAGATGGCTCAGTGGTCTAAAGCACCTACTGAGAACAAGCTTAGCAAAGCACAGGGACTGCGGTTCAATCCCCCAGCACCACATGCC